GGCGGGCCCCGGGGCGCTGGGGCGCGGCGGGGAGGTTCAGTCTCTCCCGGGTAACTCTGGTAGTCCCTGGGGATGGAGCCGGGCCGTGGGACTCCGTGGGGCTGTTCCACGCCCGCTGTGTGCGAGGGAGGACGGTCCCCGCCGTCTGTCGCCCTTCCCCTTTCGACTGCCTGTTTGTAGGGCCCCCGGGGAGGGGCAGATGAGATGCCTCGCGGTCGGGTGCACCGCGTTACTTCATGGGATCCTTGCTGTCCGGGAGGCCACTGGGAGGGCTGTCAGGGGTTAAATCATCAGTCAGTTGGAGAGTAAGAGTTTTTAGGTAGTAGTAACTAGATTAACTTCCAGGACATGTTCCACTCCCTAAGGATATTTTTCCCCCTATTTAAGTATAAATGTGCATACCTAAGGTGGTGTTTATCTCTCTTTAGCCTATGGTAAATATCAATAGGAAGTACGTTGGCTGATTTTAAGAGCATTTTCAGGTGGATTAAGAGTTTGTCTATAGACTCATCAATAAAGCATGTCTGTCTTTTTTGTAAGGAACACTATATTGAAGAATGTCTGGAAGTTTCTACTTTGTGATAGTTGGTCATCATGATAATCCCATATTTGAAATGGAATTTCTGCCTCCTGGAAAAGTGGAGTCCAAGGTGTGTTTTTTGCGCTGTGATACTCCTGTGGTGTAATTATGGTGCATTTTCTTTGGTAATTTTACAGTGTATTAGAAGCATGATCAGCATGTTGTTAAAAATGTTACTACTATCCACTGTTTTGGGTTGTTTTTTTACAGAAACTTTGTCATAGGGAGTAGAACTCCGGAGTTCTTGAGTCTCTTACAAATTCTTTGCCGGATCATACTAGTTCTTCATAAAACATGGTTTCCTTAAATGTTTGACGTTGTATGGTGAAGAACATATTGCTCTTAGTGTGTAGAACTTTTATAATAACTGTTGATACTAATGCTATTTACTGTTATTCTCTATTTTAAGGCATCTGTATACAGTAATAAGGTAAAGTAAGGGACATAAATTTGAAAGTTCTAGTCAGTCCTTTATTTTTTATGCTATAAAGAAATCTTATTTTTTAATCATGTTCCATAGTCATGCTTGCCTTTAAGTGAGAAAGGTTTAAAACTTGTATTGATAAATATGGGTTTGAGAATGTGAGCAGTGTAAGACTGCTCAATAAGTAGTGTTTCCAGTGGGAAAAGAATAAATCTATCCATTGTGATGTTACATCAAAGAAAAAAATAGACTTCAGAATAGAAGTGTGTGGATCTGTGTGTCCAAAAATGGAAGTATATGCTGTCACTGATTTGAACAGCATGATGTCATCTGTATGTTGAACTAGTATCCCACAAAAAATCATAAATAAGACTAGTCAGATGAAACTTGGTGAGTGTGAGGATGTGTCGGATAGTGGAAAAATTAATTTTCTACATTCTGCTAATGGAATTAACTTGGCTCGGGTAAGCTTCTTGTCTGACTGAGATTGAAACACTAAATTTCCTCCTAAGAGAGAATCTAAACTTGATGTGCACTGAAGAAGAACTAGTAGACATTGATATGTTTTGGCAACTATCACTTCTGTTTCTGAGACATGCCATTGAAGAGTGAATTCAGTGCGGATGCACAGCTGCCTGAAGTAAGTGGTTTGCATAATGTACGTGGTAAATCAGCACAAGCTTTTGCCCCTTAAACTTCATTACTTAGTCTCTTCCTCACTATGGTTTAATGGAACTTGCAAAGCTGTTAATGCCCTGAGTCAAACTTGATTTGAGGGCAAAACGCTGAGAGGTGTGAGAGTGGCATTAATGGCATCCTTGTATTTTGAGAAACAGTGCAAGACTACTTGTGTTTCCAGTCTAATAGAAGCTTACAGTACAGTTTAGTCCCAAGTTTCTTCTTGGCAGATGTCCTGCGGTGTTCTAGTTAGTATACAAAGTAAACGGCTCTTTCCCCACACAGCTCTGGTAGTGTTAGGGCCAAACACCGTGATCACTCTGTGAAGGCCATTGATCTGTATTATAGGAAGAGGTGCAGTTTACATCTGTAAGCATATATTTAATACCAGTTGCAGGTCATTTTTCTGCACTAGGCTCTTAGGAAAAAGAAACCCCCCAAAACAATAAAACAATCCTATGTTTCTAGGCAAATTACCTGAAAAAAACAGAATCTTTAGGTGATAATGTTATCAGTATATCTGTCCTCTGTATCTCTCTGCTTTCCCCATCTGTCCCCCAACTTTTACACATTGTAACCAATTGTACAATTTCTGCCAGATTTGACAGAGATGTTATGAGCCAAAAATGCTACATTGCTGTAAATTTCACAAAAACAGGTGACTGGAAAGCAGAGAAAAAAACTTTCATCCAGGCCTCTGTTGTGGAGTAAGTTTGCAGTGGGGGATTACCTGTAGATAAACAAAAGAATTCACACTTGAATTCATTTCTGAGCTATGAGTATACGCTTTATTGGTTTTGCTGCTCTCAAGACTGTTTTTGTGATGACCTTTTTATTATGACTCTTTTCTCCCTTGAAACCAAGTATCGTGACAACATATACTAATTTCATATAATTACAGGATGGCACACATGGCAGAGAAGGCGGCTATATATAACTTTACATAACTTGAGCACTGGTTGTTCAGCAGCTTGAGCAAATTATTGTTTGTATTTCACTCCTTTCACTGAATTACTAACCCTCTGTCTTCTGGAAATACATTAGGATGATCATCGCCATCTCAACCAGTTCATTGCCCATGCTGCTCTTGACCTAGTAGATGAGAACATGTGGCTTTCTAACAACATGTATCTGAAGACTGTGGACAAGTTTAACGAATGGTTTGTTTCTGCTTTTGTGACAGCTGGACATATCCTTCCCTCTTCTCTTTGCTTACATTTATATGGGAAAAGCCTTTTGCCAGAAAGGGTTAAGTCAGATGAAATGAATTTGGAACAGATTTCTCTGGCTATTCACCACTATTGTTGTTAGAGAGAATCACCAGCTTCAGAATGAACTAAGTTGGGAGGCACAGCAGTTGTTGAAAAACTGGACCAATTGGAAAGATGGATTTTTCTTTTCAAGGAGCTGGAATAGCCTAATGAAACATGGCGCTCACATGGAGTAAAGAGGATTGAAAGGGGAATAATATGAGAGGGTCTGAGCAAGCTTATTTGATTCTCTGTTCCCGTCCCTTTGATAGTGCTAGAGAGGAGAAGCGGGGATAAACGTGCTTGGTGTCAGTCACAGCCATCTTGAAAATGCGGTGTCAAGTCTTGATCTTATGTACAGATAGTCCTAGAAGTGGTTGTTGTGAAACATTTGTTATATGTAGGAAGTAATGCTGAATGTCGTTTTAACTTCAGGGGTATATGGCAGAGGTGCTGAGAGCAGCATCCATATTCAGAATTGTCTGGCTTTTAAAAGAATAACCTTGAATAGAGAGTGGTTATTTTTGTTTTCAAATAGGGGAATTTTAAAATACAAAGGTAATGTTTTCTAAATTTCACTGCTTGAGTTACTTCTTTTAGTGCTTCCTCCTATAGTAACTGCTATTTCATCTGCAGCTAAACATTTTAAGTATATGCAGACTTAGGTGTAAATGCTCATCTCGGGATACGTTGAATGTCTCTCTTCTTTGTAAAAGTTAAATTGTCCTTAATTGCTTTACATATGAGATTTATAATGCTTCATGATGTAAGGCAAGAAGACGGGATTAAGAACTTCTTTAATGATGTATATGACTTGTATATAAAGGTAAGAACCCACTTCTCATGGTCTCACTGCAGTGCTGCTAAGTGTGTCCTGCGGTACAGGCTCAGGCATGCCTCTATGGCCATGGTTTTGGGGGGGGCTGTGTAAGTGGAGAAGCACCTGTGCAGTCCACATTAGCCAGAGTTGATGACGTGTGACATAAAGGCTGTATGTTCCAAACAGAATGGATTTTTCTAAATTGTTATAAACTGTGCTCTTTCAGAATTTATTATTCATTTTAGTCCAGTGATTTTGGGGCAGTATTGTGTCATTAATGGTGATAACGAGAGCAAAGGACTGGTCCACAGAAGCCTGCTGGAAGTGCTTCGCTCTCAGAACAAGTGGGCTGTGTCTGACAGCCCGGCAGGACTTCCACTGGATGGGGCAGCTGCAAGCAGTGACTGGGAGGTGGCCGTCTCGGCCTCCTACGGGGATCAGATGAGGCTGATTTCCAGACAGAAATTTCCACCAGTGTCGGGATGGATTTGTTCTGAGGAGCTGGTACTAAGGGATGGCCGGGCACATATGCGGGGGGAGTGCAAGGGCCTGGAAAGCAAGTGACTGTTTCGGAGCTCCGTGCTCTTAAGTGGCACTAAATAGGCTGAAAGCCAATAGTAGTTGCCCTCTGAAGTAACCCTTTCCAGTGCTGGACATGGTGCTTATTGATGAGTTTTTCTTCTTTCCTCAGTTTGCAATGAACCCATTTTATGAACTCAATT